TCTTCATTCTGCTTGAACTGCTGTGAGTCTTGCAACTGTTCGCAAACACCGTTTACTGAACTTTATGATACTGGTAAAGAAAAGAACTTCGTTTTTGGAGTATCCCTGGACTGATTGTTTTGAATACTAACTGCTTTAACCATGTATGATTTGGACTGTTTGTTGGACTTTATTTACCCGTTTACTGGAAGTAAAACTTACATTTTACTATTCAGTGTATCTGTGTGCTGGTTGTGTATTATTCATCACCACTCTCACTGTTTCCCTGAGTGCATTCATTCTCCTAACGGGGAATACCTCAACACATCCTCCCTCCCCAGCCTGAGTCAGAAGGAGCCCCCAAACTCTGGCTTCACTTCCCAAAGGTGCATCTTTTTCTCCCCAAAAGGCAAACTGGACTTTTTTGGGTATTTTTTCCCTTGAAAACATTTCGCTTTTCATCTAAGAAGCTTCTTCTGTTCTGACTGACTGGGGGGTGGGGGGAGAAAGGATTTGTGTTGTGTCACAAAGGACAAACCCATCAGGAGGAGACGTCTGTCTGCATCTGAAAAGAGACATGCCAGGCTCTTTGGAGGGCAGCCAAGTCCACCTTCTGCACAGAAAGGAGCCCTGGGTGGAAAGAGGGGCCACAGCGGCCATCTTGGCCAAAAGGAGCAGCCCTCCCACAATAGAGGGGGAGGGGTGGAAAGGTTCCCCCCTACCTCCAGTCTACAACAGGGTCCTTTCAGCAGCTTCAGGGAGGCTCCAACCCCCCCTTTTGCACCCTGACTCAGCACCAAACGACCGGAAGGAATATCAATCCTTCCATCCTCCACCGCTCAGTCAGAACTGGAGAAGCTTTTTTTTTAAAAAAAAAATATTTTTATTAAGGATTATATGCACAGAATACAAATATCTATGTGTCAATATATGGAAAAAGACAATGAAAAAAATGGGAAAAAATCCCTCCAAAAAACATAATAGGAAAAAGAAACTTTTCCTCCTCAGTGAGCAGATTCAACATCAAAACTTTTATCACTAAATAAACAACCCCATTCATTCCACTCTTCACCCCATTTTCTCCTCTCTAAATTTTCATTTCTCCTCATGGATCAACATCATCTAGTAAAAATAAATAGAAATACCTGGTTCCTTGACTTACGACTGAAGGAACCTATGACCAGAAATCCATACAAACTTTTAGTCCCAAGACCAGGACTTCCTGGACTCTGCAAAACATTTTATATACTCCCCACATACTTTTTTTGTGTAATCACTCTGGGAAGTTACTAATGTGGCCTTGCAAGCAACATATTCTCACACACAACAATTTACACCCTCTTGTGACTGTTGGGAAAAAAGGGTTCCCCACATTGTTCACAGCTGAACAGATTTATCTCTGCTGTGGACTTTCTGGTGCCCTTTTAGCTTTGATTTACTATGAAAACATTTCCCACTCCAGGCATTTATACGCTTTTTCTCCAGTGTGGATTCGCTGATGTATCACAAGAGAATCTTTCCGAGAAAAACACCGATCACACTCTGAGCATTTGTGAGGTTTCTCTCCTGTATGGATTCGGCTGTGACTTCTAAGGGCAGATGACTGAGCAAATGTTCTCCCACAGTCCAAACATTTGTAATTTTTTTCCCCTGTGTGAATTTTCACATGAGCTCCAAGGACTGATAAGGTACTATAAAATCTTCCACAGTCGTTGCATTGATGGGGTTTCTCCCGTGTGGGTTTTATGATGACTCCAAAAGGCCTCCCTTGTGTCCAAAACATTTTCCACATTCCTCGCATTTGTATGGCTTCTCTCCTGTATGGAGCCTCTGATGGCTTCCAAGGTGTTGTTTTTGGGAAAAGCATTTCCTACACTCCCCACATTTGTAGGGTTTCTCCCCTGTGTGGATTCTCTGATGAATCTGAACATGGGCTGGCGTAACAAAACTTTTCCCACACTCCCCACATCTATGGGGCAGCTCCCCTTTGTGCCATTTCTGGTGTCTCTGAAATTCAGACCAATCCACAAATCGTTTCTCACATTCTGGACACCCATAGGGTTTCTTTCCAGTGTGACATCTCTGATGTACCACCAGGGTTGATCTCATGGTAAAACATTTCCCACATTCGAGGCACTTTTCGTTTTTCTCCAAAGAGATGAATTCAGGATGAGACATTTTCCACACTCAAAGCACTTGTGAGATTGTATTCCCACATAAATCTTCTTATGGATCCAAAGATTTGAGTTGTAAGAAAAGCTCTTCCCACATTCCCAACACCTGTAAGGTTTCTCCCGTGTGGATCCTCTCGTGGTTTCTGAGAGTGGATTTTTCACGGAAAAATGTCCCACATTGCAGACATTCATAAGGTCTCTCTCCAGTGTGGATTTTCTGATGTGTACGAAGGTGTGACTTTTGACCAAAGCGTAAGTCACATTCCTCACATTTATGGGGTTTTAGTCTGGTGGAGCTTCTGAGACCTTTTGCTTCATTTCCAGAGTTGGATTTCTCACCCTCCAAACCTTCACTGGATTCACTTCCCACATGGACCTTCCTGTGGGTCAAAAGGAGGGACCTGCGAGCAAAGGATTTCCCACACTCTGAGCATTCATGCGTTTTTTGGTCGTCTTTTGGAGTGCTGCTTTTGTCTGATGGGGGATCCAAGAGTTTCCCACGCTCCATGCTTTATGGCGGCTGCTGCCGTGTGTTAATTTTCTATAACTGTTGATAGTTGTATTTGAGGTAAATCTTTGGTCACAATCTTCCATCTGCTGTTAAAGGAAAAAGAAGTGAAGAAATATATTTCCCTTTCAGACATATAGAGAATCATAACATCTTATCCTTGGCAGGGACCTTGAGGGTCTTCCAGTCTGACCCTCTGCCCAGGGTAGGGTGCTCAGTACACCTGAGGCAAAGTGTTGGAGGCCCTATAACTATAAGAGAGATGTCCTCAACATATGATCATTGTTGGGACTGGAACCTTGGTCGTTCCGTGAAGCAGTGTGTCAACTCTGAAACGGATTGAGCCTGCCACAGATATCTTCCGTTTCTGTAGTTGCCACACAGCTCGGGGAGGGGGAAGAACTGAATGTGATCGAGTCAAAACAACCTGCTATCTCTAGGGAACCAAGGTCATTCCTAATGGGTGCTGGCCGGAGACTGGAACTTGTTGCCAAGGAGATGCCAGAGCACCTAATGGGGCAATGTGGCCTGTGAGCCTAGGAGTTTGGGGCGGGGGGGAAATCTCTAATTATGCTTAAAGCACAGGAAACAGCTAGAGCTGGGTTTAAGTTCATCCGTGCTGAAATGATGTACTCAATAAAGCCGTTCTTTGAGGAAGCCATAAGTCTCAGATCGCTGAATCGTTTGGGTTCATTAGTTGGAACCCTGACACAGTGGTTAGGGGAGGGGTCACAGGAGCATTTCACTCCACAACCGCCACCCCACACTCCTGGTTGCAATCGTGAAATGACCTTGGAGGTCCTTACGTGGGGGGAGGTGCAGACAATGGTCGTGGGGCATCTAGGGAGGGGAGAAGACAGGCACACGCCTTCCATAAATTGTGGAGCCACCCACTAAAGTGGGGTGCACAGCTGCAGCCACCCCTGGGAGCCTGAGCCCGGCCATGCAAAGCAGCTCTGACTGACAGCAATGCTG